TACTTTAAAAGAAAAATTAACAAAGAATAGTTTAGAATAGTTTAGTTCGCATTTCTTCAAACGTTCGTTCTAAGGATGTGTATGACATTATTAGGCATAGGGTACAAATGTTCCTCAGTTATTAGAACACTTAAAATATACAAAACTATGTTGCGCTTGTCCAATGTGGCAAATCTCCTAAAATTAATAAATATACAAAGCTAAACTTACCATCATATTCTTTTTTGCATGTACTATATATATATATATATATATATATATATATATATATATATATATATATATATATATATATATATATATATATGAACACTTGTTTATTTCTCCTATTACCTGAGAGATAGAATTCATTTCTATTGTTATGTTTTCAGTATCCATCGTCAACTGAAATAAGAAACATATACTGCTAGATAAATTCAACTTTTAATTATTGGGAAAATTATCTAAATCATTATTTCCATCATAGAAATAAGAAAGAAAAGCAAAAAAATGTACATATGTATCATAGGGTAGAAAAGATTTGATTTGCGATACAAGGCAGAACTTACCGTAATTGACTTTTTGTGTGGAAAAAGCTATAATTTTACAAGTTTCTCTTAAAACAAACAATAAAAATTTAGTGAATTTAATTCATATTTAGGCATAACACGGTTTTCATATAAAAGCCCAATCGAATTCAAAAGTTATGATAAAGGTTAACGTTTTTGAAAAGTAGGTCAAACTTCAAGGTCAAAAAGTAAACAAAAAATAATGTATTTGGAAAGACCCTGTCACGGAGATTTACACGTATAACAAACTATAAGGTCAAGGGGTCAAAAATCATAGTGTATCTAGAAATGTTTTGTCAAAGATAATATACATGTGTAATATGAAAACCCTAACTTTTCATATTAAAAAGATATGACCAAGCTAAGGTTATAGATTTTGTTACGGGCGGACAGATTGACCGACTGATAGACAGACAGACAGACGCATGAGATTTAATGTCCCCTCGTTTTTGCAAAAGCGGGGAACAATTAGATATACATCATATATCGAATTAATAGTTCTATGAAATATGACCTTGAATGTGTCGGTTAAACTAAAGATTTTTTTCCTTTTCAAATAGCACATTTAGAAAGATATTGGGTGTAGAGAACTTTTATCCAATTGCAATATTTGATAAACAAGCTACGTTTGATAAGAGAACATCAGTACTACCCTTTGAACGGATATTCTAAAATGAAATTTGAAAGATGTCATGAGTAGTAATTACGAATTATTTAAAAAATTATTTTAAATTAAGACGTTTCGTGAATATGTATTTTTTTCACATTATTTCTAACTCGCGCATAGTGTATAAAGAGGACCCTATGGAATAAATTTTGTTAACATACTAAATTAAGAAAATTGAAAAAAAAATCAATTTTACGCATATACAGTCAAGCTAAGTTGAATAGTATTGAAACATAACATGTAATGTTGCCTTGAACTAGCAAATAAACATTTTATGGCAGGAAAGTTTGTAAAATAGGACGAGAAACATGAAAATTTCTGGGAAAAAAAACTATTTCTCAACACATAAAACTCGTGCAAAACTAAGCTGCAAACAATTGTAGAATTTTAAATTAGTACATGTCTTTTAGGAACTTAAAGCAGCTGATATAGATAAAACAAAGAAATACACTTGAAACGAAAATATTGCACCTTACCAATATACAATATGCCTGTCATTCCTTATCTGCCTTGGTAATTTAAATGCATGGATTCGTCGAAACGGTGTTTAAAGGTATGGGTTACAATCCCCGACAGAATTATTTATACAGGTAAACCACCTCTCGGTGAGGTGTACCCTGGTATAATTTACACTTCGAAGAATAGATCACGAAATTAGGTCATTATTTCAGATAAATATAATACCAAAAACTTATGGTCTAAAGTTTTCTCAGAAAAGCATTAAATCCGACTTTAAAAGAAAAAAGCTTAGTAATCACGACAAAAATAACAGAAATAGTTATGTAGTGTAACTTGTAGCAATGTTATTACGAAAATTCATTTCTCTCTCTCTCTCTCTCTCTTAAATTCACTTTTCTTTAAGCTTTTGAAATTTAGTATAAAATCTCAATAATCACATACTTTAAATAATTTCTTGATATTTCTTCTATTTTTTAAGATCAACGCATATCTCTGATTTTAAAAACCATGATAAGCAACGGTTTGCTATTATTCTGAAACAATAAAACACAAGAACCATAAAGACTCGAGGGTCAAAGGAATGGATCTTAAGCCCGTGTGTCTCTTTACAAAGTATAACAAGATGTCAGATATATGGATTTTAATTTGTAACGACAATTATGTCACTATCTGTTTAGGGTCTATATTAAGTTTTTTCCTTATATTAAAGTGCCAAGCATAGAAATAAACTGTTTTACTCACCTCAATATCTCCGGCCATCTCAGATTAAGATTACCAAGAATTAAAGGATAAATAACACAAACTCTTTTTAAGAAATCAGCAATATTTCTCTTTTTTAGGGATTTATTATTTATGTCATTTCAAATCGAAATCAGTCAAAAAAAATATCAATCAATGCATCAATTTTTGTTTGTTTTAAGCACCCTTAAAGTTCACTTGAAGACAATACAACACTTAAAAGATGGAAAATGATCAAAGAAGTGTTAAGTTTATTATAGCAAACATTTTTTATAATGATGATTAGTCTATGTCAGGTACAGTTTTTCTACAGCAAAGGGGAACCTTACAACATAGATTTATTTGTTGATTGAAATAATTTCAAAGTTATTTTTCTTTAGCAAATTCTGCATTTTTAATCTTCTGGAGTTGACGCTTAGGCTTACAGTTGGAAGGAATTCAACGCCGGGATTGTTTGTTACCAGCTGTAATAAATAACGTTTTTTTTTTGCAGAACACAGGACACCATTATAATTTCTAGGTGGATTTCGTCTCATTTTGTCCCCATTGGTTGATTAACTATTGACAATTTAAATCATTTGTGGTTGTTAATAATGGGTATGTTAAACCTTGAATCATTTTTATTTCTCATAGCATCATCTGATAGTAAGAGCATTTTAACACAATGTGTTTTTGTCCAATGTCTTTATGGTCAAGCTGTATGCAAGCTGAAGTTATGTTTTGACATAAAATTCTTTTGTAGGTTTTACTTACTATAAGGAATTTTTGATTTTAAAAAATGGAATAATTTTCTTTTCTATCATGTTTTATATATGATTCAGATATTACAGAACTTTTATTCTACTTTGCATAGGAAAGAATAAAACTGAGAATATGTACGCTGAGAGATAGAAAGATAGGTTTAATAAAAAATGTAATCTCATGGGCTGAAAAGTTTGGAGTCACCTGAACTCTTAGTCTAGGCTGAGAGCTATCTGACATGTCAGTCTAATGCTCAGAGCAACTTAAGATACATGTATGAGTATAGGCTGACAGCCACCTGATTAGTGATTCAAAGCTTAGAGCACATTGAAATGCGAGACAAGGTTGGGAGCCATCTGATCTGTGAGACAAAGCTTGGAGGTTTCTGAACTGTGAGTCAAGGCTGAGAGCCACCGATACTGTGAGACAAATCCATTGCATAGAGATTTAAACTGACCGTAATCTATAGAGATATAATTTTTAATGTAATGTTATAAATTTGATTAAGAATTTACATTGACTGGTTAACAGATTATGTTGCTCAAGTATACGCGATTGTTTTTTTTTTCTTATAAATAATGTTTATTTTTGTTGACACGTTTTCGAACACGTATGGCACTTTGTGCTCAATTATATGCTTTACTTAGTGTTTTTTCACTCATTGTCACATTTACAATAGGACGAATTTTGCAGATCTGCGGATGATAGACTTTGTCTTTGTTTCCCAATCAGATTCCTAGTTTAATCGAGGCACCAAAATATGGTTTCACCTTGCGTAGATATTACATTTTTAGTTTTTGTAATTTGCATAATCGCAATCAAAACCAAGATTTATACAGAATAGGTAACTCGGTGCATTTTGCACGTCTTAATTCTCCTTTTTGTCCACTTGAGTGTTTAAAAGATTATTTTAAGGAAGCATTTCTTATGAATTGTTAACTTCCACTAGAGATTTTTTAATAGCCTTATCTTGGAGGAAATATAACAAGGTTCTAAATGCATTCCCTTAGAGCAGCTGGACTATTCTAGACAGGTTGCTCAACGAGCTGAGAAGATGGAGGAGTAAGTCTGCTGAAGATAGTTATCTTAAGGATAATATTGATTATTGGATTTAAAAAAAATATTGGATTGTAATTAGTGCAAGTTGAAATTGTTATAATGAATCTATATACAAAGTTCTAATCACCTGACATTTGTTATTTGAAATGGCTAACTATGTCTTATCCTATATTCTATGTTTTGTTTATTTTTATATTAGAACAGGAAATAATTTATGTTCAGATGAGCGAAGCGAAAGAGAACATGACAAAGGCGACACAAAACCGACACAACATATCTGTATTCTTGAAGAATACCAATCACACCTCCTAACCTCATTAGCATAAATCGGAAGAATTCGGAGATAAACGTAATAAAATATGAACAAAATCCATAAAAGTCCGAACAGCTTTCCTCGCGAGAATTCAGCGAGACCAACATGGTAGAGGTGAAAATCGAGAGAGAAATTCAACATGAAAAAAGAGGTAAAACTTTATGTTATCTCGATTTATAAGATTTGTAAATTGCAAAAAGTTGAAAAACAAACGTTTCTTTACCTGAAAAGTGAAAGTAGGTTTGCAGTTTCTTATTCTGTCAAGTGCTATTGCACTTTAAAGTGTCAAAACAGCACCTCTCGATTTTGTAAACATATGTTTCCACGTGGAAGGGAGTAGTTGTCATGGTCAAGATTAACCCACATACATTGATTTAGTAAACAAAAACACACGTAAGTAGAATTTCATTTATTTTTTCGATTACCTGTAGTACAAAATGGTTAAATATTTTAGGGCATGTTTGTCAAATGCTGTTTTAGCATGTCTTAAATTGAAGAGAAAATGCAGGTGTGCTATAGTTCGTTCCTACTTGTAAGGTAGTCTTATGCATGCATACGCAGAGTTACGCGTATAAAAGTCATTATTCTTACTTACATGTATCAATACCCAGTGATTTGTGAGAACCATAAGGGTTTTTTTCAAATACCAAGAGACTAAAATTTAATTCTATCTGTACTCGTGTGTATGCACAAGAAGTTCTTCCGAATTTCCTCTACACATATACATGTGTACCTGGATAAAGGATTAAAGGTTTGTTTACATTTGTTTGCAGTTTTAATAGTGTCAGCTGTTTATATCAATCATGCAGTTTTCACTAGAGCCTACTGATCAAAATATGATTGTTACTTTTCTAATTTAATATCATAGAATTTATGATCAGCTCATCATGATGTCAATGCAGTTCTCACACTGACATACTTGTGTATACATCAGGTATGAAACTTCACATATGCAGTTGTCGCCCACGTATATCACTCAGTGGTATGAGAGGAATTAGTGGATAAGAGATATGTATGGGTACACCAAAGCATAACAGATGGACGGACAATTATCGATTACTTAATATACCCTCCCACTTTTCAAGCAGGGGGTATAATAAATTACATGCATGCATGCATCAATCTGTTTAATGAAAAGATATTGCTTTTATAAGATAATTTACATTGATGCATTTTTGTTTGTAAGAATATATGTATTTAATTTACATTTTGTTTAATTATTTCAATGTGTTAAATGAAAAGTATTTTCTTTTTTGTTTGTCTATTGCAGGTTAGAGTACATTTTGAACAGCCATCTCCAGGTATGACAAAAATAACACGATTGACCCTATAAGGTAATAAACAAACATTATTGAATTTAGAAAATGTATATAATAATGAAGCACAAATGTGAAATCATTGTAGGCCCAGGATAGAAATAGTTTTCTTTCACTGCTCACTTCTTTTACTGGTCAGCTCATCATTATATCACTATCCCACTAGGCTACTAGATTTTAGTAAAAAAGAGACTGACCCAAAACCGTAATAATAATAATCATGATGTAATAGTTATATTTTGTTTATTTTATGTGATACACAGTTGGACAAATAATTAATCTAAACAAAACAGGATTCCGACAAGCCTGTCAAGTTACTAGCCCAACTATAATTGTATTTTGTTATACATAGACCTGACCCAAAAGACTGATGCCCCCTACCATGTACTAGCCTAGATAAATAAAAAAATCACTGACCCCAGTCACATGGGCCTTCAATTATTTTTTAGCCTTGCATTGTAAAGTCAGCTATCAAGACATTCCATCCTTTTTTGTTGTTTGTTTTTTTAATGATGTGCACCATCCCACACAAATTATACACACAAGAAAATATTTTTTTCCATTATTAAAATATGGGCTTTACTGATCTTTACATGTATACAATGTATGTCTTTTCTTTTGAAGAATTACATTGTTGATCAAATTTAAAAATGGTCCTCAATATGTATGTGTATGATACTGTATTAAATGCACAAAAATTATAATTTCATTAAAATAAAACAAAAAAAGCAAATACACTGTATTAAAAAAGAAAATCAAATCAATTCAATTATAATTTGCAATGAATGTTTCTTGCAGGACATACTCTGAAGACAGTGATGTGCAAGTTCAAGGTTTGACTGTTGTGTGTATTGTATATGTAATGGTAAGGATAAATTTATAACATTTAACAGGCAACATTATTATTTAATTATTATCATACTGATCATGCTGATTGGAATAAACAAAGAAAAAAATATTAAGCATGCCCAATTACTCCAATATCTACATGTACAAATGTACATGTATATAAATTAATGTATAAAACAATCCTGTGTAAAGTTATATATAGTTAGAGAGAGAGAGAAGTTGATTAAAGGATTAATATAATTGAAAATCATGCATCAGTGATTTTTGTTTTTGTTTAATTCTCAAAAGATTTAATCACATTCTGTTCTATTTTCAGCATACACTTTAATAATAAAGAATGGGTGAAAAAATTCTCACATCATGCTGCATAACAGTACATGTAAGTTCAAAGGCAGAAGAAAATCTATTAAAAGAGAATTTAGAAATACAGTTGGTTGTCTGTTTTAGCAAACAATTTAATGAACTGAAAATTATGCTGATACATAAATCAGCATATTATGCAAACTGTAAATGATTGCATAACATATTTTTCTAATTTGCATGTAGTGTATTGATATTTGTCAGTATTTTTCATTCAGTTTTTTTTTCCATATAATTGCAAATGCTTGTATTTTATTTGGATTAATTGATTTAGATGATTGTATTAACTTATTAATCATATTTGTAGTTCAGCTGTAACAAAAGAAATTATCTGATGAAAGCTTCAACCACGAGAATCTATAAAAGGATGTCAAGTCCAAAGAGAAGGTATGTTGATTACTGGTGATGATATATGTTATTGATGTAAATAGGGTACAGCAATAAATTAAAGAACAATAGTAATCCGTAGACAAAAAATTAAATCTTAATTCTTTTCAAGAATAGGCAGCTAGGTCATGAGTAGTCACTCTAAGATAGTTAAGAGCAGATTTAGATTTGTTCAGATCATATGGCTGTAGGGTAGGGTGGGTCCACAGTGGCGGATCAAAGTTTTATTCTGGAATATTTAAGGCTGAAGCCTTTTATTATGAAGTCTATTGAAGATTATCAGGGCCACGATACATCATATTTTTTGAACGAATACATACTAGTACAGAATCCCAAAATCAAGAGTAATGAATATGCCATAATTAGAAACAGTATGTTTATCTTGAAAGTCCTATGTAAATATTGGAAAATCATTTTGTTTATTTCTTGGCTTTTAATTTAAGTAGAGATTAAAATGATATAAGTTTTCATAATTTAAATTCCTATTTTATGGAGACTTTAGTGTATATCTATGTAAGGTCAAAAAAAGCTACAATTTTCAGAAAGAAAGCAATATTTTGGGGTTATAGAAAAGGGGCATAACTCTCATCATGATAGTAAAAATGGATGTCAGATAATGTGAAAAATGTGATTGTGTACTGTTGGAAAACATAGTGAATACAGTGCCATCTGAATATGTAAAAATAAACTACAGTATCTTAAAATCAAACAACTTTGACTACCTAGGGTATGTTGACATTCATGACAGTATTACAAATTGAATGAATGATTTGTAAACACTAGAAATAGCATATATATGATTTACTTTGTTGATTTAATTTGCTCATTTTGCGCAGATCTCTTTCTCATGCAGATTATTAATGAACAATGATATATTGAATTAGCAACTGTGAATGGCATACATGTATATGAATTTTATATACTCTGTTTAGAGTTGAACTTTGGTATATATCTTTGACACTGAATGATATCTTGAACACATTGAGATATCAAAGTCATTTTAAAGTCCCTTGAACGACATTTTTTTTCCTATATATCTTACCCTGAATCTCTTGGATATCTGTTTTTTCAGCAGTCCCATAAGCACTTCAAGATAACAAGTGTGACTTAATTTTATTGATTCAATTAATTTATGATGAATTATAAAAATATCAATCATATACCCAGGTACTTTTATGTTAATGCATTAATATTTTATATTTTTCAGGCCATATAACAAATGGTTGCTGAATTCATGAAGACTAGCTGGGATGATACAGTACTTTTCTACTCTTATGAACCATACCTAAACATCATTTGAGGATCCCTTTCTCAGAAAAAAAGAATTTGCATATTCAAAGTCTCTATAGTTTATTGTTTATTTGTACATTGTTTAACATTCTTCTTGAGAATTTTTCACTCATATGGGGATGCCAACATTTGGAGAACTGCAAATTTTGTCCTTTACTTGGCACACATGGCTAATTGAGCAACGAGGGATCTTTTTGGTGCTAGCACCTACTGCAACACAGGACCTCTGTATATACAGTCTCATCTCTATCTCCGACTGGGGGATTTTGAACCAGCAATTTAAGGATCAACTCCTTACTTATGACTCTCGAGCAGACGCTCTTGCCACTCTGCCATGCAAGTGACTTCATAGGTTATAAAATAATAAGATAAGATTTATAACTTAAAACTGATGTTTTTAATTCAATCACAGTATAGAAAATGTTTGCAAAAAAGGGAGGTAATAGCTACATGTAGCTCTCACTGGTTTTGCATGCTTAAACTATAGAATTACATATTGTAATTAGGCCATGCAAAATTAATTCCTTGGTTCTCAGGCCTTTTTTCAAGAAATATGATGAGGGAGGGAGGCATTTTTTTTTACTTTTTATTGCCCCCAAAACATGATGAGGCAGCTTTTTACATTGTACAAAACCTCAAAAAAATGATGAGGGAGGTGATTTGTTGTTTTTATTTTATTGATTTAGCAATAAAAAGGGTCAATGAGGCGCCCTTGGAAGAGATGAGGGAGGGCCTGAGAACCAAGAAATTAATTTTTTTTGGCCTTACACATGTATTTTAAACCAGATCAGTAAAGAAAGAAACACTTGAATATTTTTACTATGAATTTTATTATAAGGTTGATTATCTCTAAAAAATTGGAACTTTTAATCTTTTTTGGAGTAGGAAAAAAATATTTAGAATGTGCATGTGCTCTTAATTTTGTTTATTAAAAATAGTCAAAATTTGGAGATCTTGTGAAGGGTATCTAAATATTGATTTATAAATTTTTACTTCATTTTTAAACAGCATAATCTTTATTATAACATATGCCTGTAATTTACAACTTATTTGTTGTTGAACATTCCATTGTCTGTCTACATGTAGTGCTTAGTAAATTCCTTGTAAATACAAACATGATTGCATGCTGTTTGTTTACTTTGTCTTTTTTTCAATATGAGTCATGATATATAAATTTTGTGCGTATCAGTTTAAATTATTTTTGTTGAATTCAGTTAACAGAAAAAAATTAATAACTAGATATAATTATGTAGATTGATACCTTCCAGAAATATTTGCATATACTAGTAGCTGTAGATATGTAGCTTATGTGAAATCAGGTATACTTGAAAATCAATTTACCTGTATTTATTAAACATAAATTTAGTGAACACATTCATATACCTATACAGTACTTCATAATGAAAATACACTGTGTGTTAATGTTTTACTTATTCAACATAAAAATTGACCAGAAGTGATCTTGATGAAATAAAACATATATCTCACAATATTTCCCCCTCCCCCCAATTTTATCACAATTTAAATGTATATATATATAAATTGATAAAAGAAACTGACTACACCATAAAAAATCTTCAGTTGTCTTTCCTTGTTTAAAGAAAATATCAGATGCAATGAATGCTCCCTTGGGTTCATGACCCTGAATATTAATAAGGTTGGGAGGTGTGCCAATGTTACTTTTCTTTTTTTTTTTTAAATTTTATTCAATAAATAGAAAAGAAATTCAGGTTAATTTTTAATTCAATAATTATGAAAAATGTAAGCATATGTATTTCTACTCTACCTTACAATAGTATTTTTTAAATTCTATTGAGGTGTTTCATTACTAATAGAACGTACTCTTCCATCGATAAATAAATCATCGCAGTATATTGTATTCTAAAATTAAAGTATTTTACAGTAGAAAGTTTACAAAAAAGAGTTAGTTATAAACAATGACTGAATTTAAGTCTATTTGGTCTAACACTGCCTTATATAAATAAAAGTTCAAAACAGAATATTAATTATTTCTAATACTTGTGAAAGCATGCAATAAATTATTTGAAAGAGAATGGCAATTGAAATTTTGATAACAAGATAATCAGTTTGGTCTTTCTCTTACACTAATTTAACCAGAAGTCTCTGTCGAGACTGTAGCTCTACTGGTTTGTACTTCTAACAAAGAATGAGAAAAGAAGCCATTGCCATCAGACCAAAACTGTAGAAGGAGTAGCGTTTTAAAGGAATTTCACAGACATTTCTGTTTTTAGTAACCATGGCAACATCGTTCATCGAAATCAAAAACCGATGCACTATTTTATGTATCTAAGTGTAGTCTATCTGTGTGCCAAGTAACATTGAAATCAGATCAAAACTGTAGAAGAGTAGCGTTTTAAAGGAATTTCACAGAAAATTCTATTTTTAGTAACCATGGCAACACCCTTCATCAAAATCAAAAACCGATGCACTATTCTATGTATTTTAATGTAGTCTACCAGTGTGCCAAGTTATATTAAAATCAGACCAAAACTATAAAAGGAGTAGCGTTTTAAAGGAATTTCACAGAAAATTCTATTTCTAGTAACCATGGCAACACCGTTCATCGAAATCAAAAACCGATGCACTATTTTATGTATCTTAGTGTAGTCTACTAGTGTGCCAAGTTCTGTTAAAATCAGACCAAAACTGTAGGAGGAGTAGCGTTTTGAAAAATTGTTTACAGACAGACGGACGGACGACGGACACCTTACTATCGCATAAGCTCTTCTGGTCAGTGACCTGTAGAGCTAAAAAAGGAAGGAAATAAGTCAACAAAGGACAATATCATCCTACATGAACAGGCCAATAATAAGAAATGGAAATTATCATTGTGTAAACAAAAAAAACCTACACCTACACATAAACAAGAGGCCCATGGGCCACATCGCTTACCCGAGCATTGTGGCTAGGAAAAAATAGTAATTGGTTTACTATTGAAAAGTTTAAATCCAAAAGTTTGGCCCCGCCCTACCCCCAGGGGTCATGATTTCAACAAACTTGAATCTACACTACCTGTGGATGCTTCCATATAAATATGAGCAATTATGGCTCTGCTGTTCTTGAGAAGAAGATTTTTAAGGAAGTTTCCTAATATATTTCTACATAAAACTTTGGTCGGCCATTGTGGCCCTACCCTACCCCCGGAGGACATGATTTGAACAAACTTAAATCTACACTACCTGAAAATGTTTCCCCATAAGTTTCATCTTTCCTGGCACATTGTTTCTTTAGAAGAAGATTTTTAAAACATACCACCAAATTTTCACTAATTCTCAATTAGATGGAGGAGTAAGTCTGCTGAAGATAGTTATCTTAAGGATAATATTGATTATTGGATTTAAAAAAATATTGGATTGTAATTAGTGCAAGTTGAAATTGTTATAATGAATCTATATACAAAGTTCCAATCACCTGACATTTGTTATTTGAAATGGCTAACTATGTCTTATCCTATATTCTGTGTTTTGTTTATTTTTATATTAGAACAGGAAATAATTTATGTTCGGATGAGCGAAGCGAAAGAGAACATGACAAAGGCGACACAAAACCGACACAACATATCTATTCTTGAAGAATACCAATGTTACTTTTCTTTTTTTTTTAATTTTATTCAATAAATAGAAAAGAAATTCAGGTTAATTTTTAATTCAATAATTATGAAAAATGTAAGCATATGTATTTCTACTCTACCTTACAATAGTATTTTTTAAATTCTATTGAGGTGTTTCATTACTAATAGAACGTACTCTTCCATCGATAAATAAATCAGCGCAGTATATTGTATTCTAAAATTAAAGTATTTTACAGTAGAAAGTTTACAAAAAAAGAGTTAGTTATAAACAATGACTGAATTTAAGTCTATTTGGTCTAACACTGCCTTATATAAATAAAAGTTCAAAACAGAATATTAATTATTTCTAATACTTGTGAAAGCATGCAATAAATTATTTGAAAGAGAATGGCAATTGAAATTTTGATAACAAGATAATCAGTTTGGTCTTTCTCTTACATTAATTTAACCAGAAGTCTCTGTCGAGACTGTAGCTCTACTGGTTTGTACTTCTAACAAAGAATGAGAAAAGAAGCCATTGCCATCAGACCAAAACTGTAGAAGGAGTAGCGTTTTAAAGGAATTTCACAGACATTTCTGTTTTTAGTAAACATGGCAACATCGTTCATCGAAATCAAAAACCGATGCACTATTTTATGTATCTTAGTGTAGTCTATCTATGTGCCAATTAACATTGAAATCAGATCAAAACTATAAAAGGAGTTGCGTTTTAAAGGAATTTCACAGAAAATTCTATTTCTAGTAACCATGGCAACACCCTTCATCGAAATCAAAAACCGATGCACTGTTTTATGTATCTTAGTGTATTCTACTAGTGTGCCAAGTTCTGTTAAAATCAGACCAAAACTGTAGGAGGAGTAGCGTTTTGAAAAATTGTTTACAGACAGACGGACGGCCGACGGACACCTTACTATCGTATAAGCTCTTCTGGTCAGTGACCTGTAGAGCTAAAAAAGGAAGGAAATAAGTCAACAAAGGACAATATCATCCTACATGAACAGGCCAATAATAAGAAATGGAAATTATCATTGTGTAAACAAAAAAAAACCTACACCTACACATAAACAATAAGCCCATGGGCCACATCGCTTACATGTACCCGATCATTGTGGCTAGGAAAAAATAGTAATTGGTTTACTATTGAAAAGTTTAAATCCAAAAGTGTGGCCCCGCCCTACCCCCCGGGGTCATGATTTCAACAAACTTGAATCTACACTACCTGGGGATGCTTCCATATAAATATGAGCAATCATGGCTCTGCTGTTCTTGAGAAGATTTTTAAAGAAGTTTCCTAATATATTTCTACATAAAACTTTGGTCGGCCATTGTGGCCCCACCCTACCCCCGGGGGACATGATTTGAACAAATTTAAATCTACAGTACCTGAAAATGTTTCCTCATAAGTTTCATCTTTCCTGGCACAGTGGTTCTTGAGAAGAAGATTTTTAAAACATACCACCAAATTTTCACTAATTCTCAATTATCTTCCCTTGAATGAGGGCGTGGTCCTTTATTTGAAAAAACTTGAATCCCCTTCACCCAAGGATGCTTTGTGGCAAGTTTGGTCGAAATTGGCCCAGGGGTTCTTGAAAAGAAGTCGAAAATGTGAAAACTTTACAGACAGACAGACGGACTGCTAGACAGACAGACAAACGGACGCCGGACAAAATTTGATCAGAAAAGCTCACTTGAGCCTTGGGCTCAGGTGAGCTAATAAAAATGATTTATAAAATGTGTCGTTAAATCCTCCGTGTCGACATGTATATGCGAATAGCGAATTTTTTTTAGGTTCTTGCTGAATTAAGAGCATGTCTTCAAATAGTTTGACAAAAAGTCACACATTTTCAATGTTTAATATGTACAAAGCAGTGAATCTATCAGAATATCTTGCCACAGATCCAAGCAGCATTCAATGGTAATAATGTGAATAAGAAAATTCTTCTAAAAGAATGTATCCGGTATGTAACTGATATAGCTTGAAGATTAGGCAGATATCCATCACTATTCTGTGAATTCATTTAAATGACAGTGCAAGGAAAGTTCGCAGGTTTATTTCTTGTCTCGAGATTTTCTGTCTTCTGGCCGTCTTCATTTTCACTGTTAAATTAAGAAAAAAATTATTTAAAAATATATATGTATAATTTTATTCAAAGAAAGACAAAGTTAAACAGCAACACAGACTTTAGACTAGAATTAAACCAGTTAATATACATGTAATTTTATCTGTGACTTGTTTGGAATAGTTTTCTATTGTTTCCTTATTGAAGTTGAAAATGAAGTACGCTTTCTTTCCACATTTAAAGATCATTAAATCAATTTGGGAATAGAGTTTGTCTTTTCAAAATAAAAGAAGTAACGATCATATAAGCTTATATCATTGTCACACTAACGTGAAAATTTATCATTTATTTTAACAATGAGCATAGTTGAATATAAAATAAAGCAATTCTATCCCAATTGAAAAAGAAGGTTTATAATACATACAAATATACATGTATTGACTAAATTATTACTTTTTTAAATTAACAAAAATCAACAGCAAGTTTAATTATATTGAATGTTTTTTTTTCTGGAGGATTTCATTGAAAAGGTATTTATTTTTTACTTCTGAACGCTATTATCTAGTGAAGTAGCTTAATTTTTGTGAATATGAGGAACAAACTGCGCTCATAACAAAGGGATATGGCGCTCATAGTAATCCGGAAGATCTAGAAGAGTTTGCATATGAAATATTCAAATCAATATAGCTCTTTATAACATGTATCCGAGCTTGATGGAGCTTGTTATAAGCTCGTATATAACATTTTCATTAGATTTTGATTCATATAGCTTTCTCAACGAGTTAGATGTATCAGATGTAATACCCTCGGCATTGGCGTCCCCAATTTTGAGCACGTTAATGTCTTAATTAGAAGCAGGTCTTTTTTTACGTGACTATATTCATATTTTATAAACTTGCATTTATAATCCAACCTTGCTTTGGAAGCTGGATCTTAACAACGATTCCCAGATGAGTGACCAGCGTCAAGATTTAGAGTGGGAGAGAATTCCTATTAAGAGGAATTTTTTTCTCTTTTCTCGCTTGCTTCCGTTAGACGCTGTTTGTGGCTATCATTTGAGTCTGCAGGGGCATACCCGATATTGATCTTAAGGTAGTCCGATCCTCAGGTTTATAAAATTACCAGTTAAGTAGTCAAAAATACTCATAAAAGTATCTCTGAATCCACAAACTTATGTAAATTTATTCACATTATTTCTTTAAAGATTAAAGTTAATCATATTTTATATGGAAAATTGTCAAATCTCCAATATTTTTGCAGAAAAAAGCGAATTGGAATATCAGCAATGTATCTTCTAGTTGCAAATTGATTAACAAATATATTTCAGGTTAAAAAATAATAGGTATCCAGGCATTCAGAGAAATTGTAATGATTTTTATACTTATTTGGTATTTTTTGTCTTCTATTTAAGTCATGTATTCTATGTGTAAAAGGCTTTTGCTATCATTGCAAGACACCATAAATCACTTCTTATTTCATATCATGCTAATAAGCATTTGTATCTAAGGCTGGGTTCAAGAAAATCTTATTTCTCTAAAACTGTTTTCATTTTTTCTCTTTTACAGGGTCAAAATGTCAACCTTTTCTAAGACTTCCAAAAACCTTGAATCTTATAAAGATGAATAAAATAAAAAAATGTTGCATGAAAAAATTTCATTTTCAAGCTTCGTTTTGATGCATTTCAAATTACATGTATATATGAATTTTTGGAGTTATCCTTCCTGGTTGAGGATCGGATATCCTTAAATGACACTAAACTTTTGATTTTAAAATTCTTGAGCAATTACATGTATGACAATTAGAGAGTATTTCTTTTGTTACCCACATTTCTGTTTATTCAATACATTGTTCTATAAATAATCTTTATGTTCACTGTGTCACTAAAATTCCAAAATGTGTTCCTTTTTTAAGAGAATATATTTAAGAAATAAACAACGTTATTCAGTGAACATGGCGTTATGAATAGCAATTGCTCTGCTGGCATATTCCATGATGCGAAAATATGCCAGCAGAGCTATTGCTATTCATAATGCCATGTTCACTAAATAATCGTTGTTTATTACTTATATTTGCATTCTTTCATTTATTCAAAAATATCAGAGGAAATCCTGACTTACATAAGGACGCGGCTTCTAGTCTTCAGTAATGAAAAACATACGGCTTTAAAATCAGTACACCTGATCAATGATACTTTTATCTAATAAATCACAAACAATTATAAAGTATTTCCCTCTCAAACACAGTTATCTGGATACAAGCAGCGCCGTCATCACATTCTCTTAATTTTTGTTTTGATGCAGTTGTGACGTCATCGATCAACGTTATTGAAACCCTCTAACAAAAATCAACAATATTAAAACACTATGATGAAAAATGATCATGCTTTTATAATGATTATTACTTCAGAATGCTTTTCTATTTTTTTTATAAGTTCTTCTATTTATTTTTAATAGCTGAAATTATTCTTGAAGTCGATATACTAGCCTAGTTTAACTAGTTTTCTGAATGTTATTACCCAAGTGTGAAGAGTTATCGTTCTTTGAACAAACATGCATGATACAAAAAATAAATATAGGGCAGTTTTCTACAATTTTTAAAAAAGTTTTATTATACAATTAAATATATTGACCAAAATTAAATTTTTAAAGATATAAATCAGCCATTTTAATTATTCTGAATTTCTTTTTTCTCAAAGAATATTATTAAAAACTTATTTTTATTCCTTTTACGAAATGTTTCATATATATACTTCTAGACACGTTATACAATTGTAGTAGAGATTGTTCTTCAGGAATTAGATAGAGCAATTGCATTCATAGCAGAAGCAGTTGCATCTATAGTCCTATGAACGCAGTTGATGACTACATGTTCATAGCGGGAGAGAGCAATGGATATGCAAATATTAAGCTCTATACCTTGACAATATGCATCTACGAATGCACACAACTGAAGTTTCTAAGGAAGCTGGATCTGAACAGCATATTCTGGAGAAATAACAGGGTTAAGATTTTTGGAGCAGGTTTTTTTTAACATGCTGACCAATTTTTCTATTGATGGTACATCAAACAACACAAAAACTTGCAACAGATGCTAAATTATACATAAATTTTAAAAGAGCGACCAAATCAAGATGTTTGAAACAGTGTCTTAATAAGTGACTAGTTATTTGCTGAGCAATTTTGCAATGGTTTATTGAATGGCGATTAATTATTTATTTCGAGTAACTGATATTGCAGCTTTACTTTTGTTGTAAATTTGTTTGACACAAACTACAAGAATTGCTTATGATGATGATTAAGACCTAAATATCTTCTACTTTCTTTTTAACTAAGTGAACAAATTATATTGTTTGGGGTAGGCGCATTATAGTGATTGGAGTAGGCGCATGATTATTAAACTATAATGATTAACTAAACCAACTTTCAAGGTTGATATCTCAATAGATCAGTTCTACCAGGTAACCTACTTTGTAAGATGATAGCTTTGACCAACATTTCCCAGACGAGTGAACAGGTTAAAACTTTTGAAGCAGATACATTATAAAAAGTTTTTTAAAAAGTCTCTCTGAACAAAACTTCAAAGCATTAAAACTTCTGAAGTTTTCGGTTTTAATTCATGTAATTGTATCTTTTGGGAGATAGACTAGTTTGAAATGATAAGATACTAGTAAGTCCGTTTTAAGGTAAACACAAGCCCCCTATCAGACTACAATTAATTACAGGTTATGTCTAGGGATGTCAGCTGCTACATGTAGATCATTTGTTAGTTGTGGGACTTTGCCTTACCGAAGGCGACATTCTTTGAGGTGAGGTAATCTCTGAATGCTTTCCTTTTTTTTTTCGAGATAAATCTTTTCTTACCTTGAGGACTCTACATTTTCAGGAAGATAGATCCTTTCGAATTCTTCCAGTCGATTTATTTCTTTTGAGAGGTTGTCGTCGAACTTCACCCTTTACATGATATTATATTTTTAAAATGAGATATTTGCAGTAACACACACCTATAAATCCGTTTACTGTCAAATGTTTAATGATATAAGAATCATTTGCAGACAAAGCCTAGCACACAAACAAGACCATCTTGAGGCCAAATCGCTCACCTGAGCACACTGGCTAAGAAAAAAGCAAAAATCAGTATAGTTTTGAAAAGTTGAATTCAACTTCGACTAAAATTTAAAATTATCTGATGCTACTTCCATATAATTATAACAAATGGCTTTTTTGTTCTTGTTCAAAACATTCTTCCTACATATTCATTTGTAACAATCATGGGTCAGTCCCCCCCCCCCTGGGGGAGTTCATTTGAACCAATTTGATTTTACACTCATTTCAAGGATGCCTCCATATCAATATGAAAAAAAAATTCTAATTTACGTTCCTATGAAAAAGTTTGAATACCCAGTGCTGCCTACTCTACCCCGAGGATCATGACTTGAACAAACCCAAATCAACATTATCTGAAAATGTTTCCACTAAGATATGATCAATTACGGGTTTGCTGTTGTTAGAAAGAACTTGCTCTCTCCCGACTTAAGGTAAATCTACTAGGCCTGTAGGTAATTTTGAAAAGTTTTTTCTCTAAAAAATGCAACATACATGTATCTCTCACGGGATAAGAGGATTAAAAAGAAAAATATGTTGTGTTCCTGAACGTAAGAAAAAAGTTTTAGACATTTTAGTCAGTCGGTCGGGAGATGGCAACTCAACTTTTTTTTTAAGGGACATAGACACAGCTTCAGCATAATATTTTCAAATTAATTTTACCAGTATTACAAACATTAAACTACATGTAAGGTTTTTCTAATGATAACGAAATATTTGAACTTCAGTTATCTAGATAAGAAGACTGATTTAGAGCTAATGTGCTTGTTCCTTCTTCAAAGCAGGTATTTCAATATTGAACTTTTTTTTCTAAAATTGATAAGACAGTTTCTAGTGATTTGCTGAATCTCATTTTGTTATAAATATCATAATTAAATTTCCTATATGTTCACAAAAAAGAGGCACGCACTTTGTTTACATTATGAAGAATTTTATGTTCTGTATCTCGTTTGTTAATCAACAAATGATATTCAAATTTTTGCTAAATATTAAATTATGAGTTAGATGGAAATTGCGAAACATTAAAATTAGTTTTAAAAAATCAGTTGAAATGGCGTCTATGGAATAATCCTTTTTTAAAATGATTTTTAATGCACTGTCTAATACATACTTCTCTAGTTGTTTTTGTAGTGCTGTGATGTTTTTATTCGTTGTTTTGATATGTTGGCCTCTGTGTTTTTCAAGGAGTTTTCTAAGATAACTGCAATATATAGAAAGAGTATATACTGATTTTATAAACAAGTATTTTCACATAACAATGGCTTATTTCAAAGCTAAAATTAAAATTACTCATAAATCTCCTTATCCAATTTGTCTTGGCACCATTCACTTTTATATTTCTTTTTAAATTGAATATGAATATGTGCAGCACAGCAATTTTGAATGTATTCAATTTGTCTTTCAACTGTCCAGTTTTCTTTATCTGCAGAGTTACGCCAGTATGTGAATGCCGCTCCTCCAACGGCTGAGATGACAAGCAACGGGATCGAGTAAGGGGCTGACACTGCAACGACACATCCTGTAGCAGCACCCCCAATACCTCCCGTTTGAAGAAATGCTCGAACAGTAGACTAAAAATTAAATCAATGGGATTTTTTTAAAAATAGGTTACATTTAGGTACAGCTACTGTACAAGTAATTCTTTTGACCCTTTAATAGCCCGACTTGTATACATGTACAAGTATTTACATGTAAGATAGAATTAAGGCGAGTGTTGTATTTTTTTTGTCCTTTGTATTTTAAAGCAATGTTTTCATCAGATTACTTCACTTATTTATGACTGAAACATGTATGAAATCTGAAATACGTAAGACATTGGCATTACAGCTATCTGATTCTCGTATGTAATTTTCAAATTGATTTCGATCCCTCCTACTATTTTTGCCAGATTTCAATAAAAATTGGTACACATGTATAGAACACTTTCAAAACACAATTTATTTTTTTACTTTAGTACCATTTCAATGAACAGTGTTGCCATTGTTACAAAAATTGGAATTTTGTTGAAGGCAATATCTTAAAGTTTGTTACGATTTCAATAAAACACGGATACACTATATTCATTTCGATGCTACACATAAAAATTAAATATTTCAACGTTACAAAACTTTACCTCTATAAAATGTTGGTTGAAAGAATGTTATATAAAGAATATTGCTAAACACTTTATCATATTCGTTAGTTAATATTGATTTGATTTCATCAGAATCATGCAAGAAAATTTCTCGCTTTATATACTATTTCTTCCCCCGAAAATCCCAATAGTTTAAGAGGAAGAACATCTAATGTTCAGAAGTTTTTGACATCAAACGAGCTCAATTTAAATTAAAACACAATCTTTTAGCCAATGCTCTCTAGAAGAACCCGCGCTCTGATAATCTGGTCCTGATTTTTAAATAATAGGCTAGAAATAACTTTTAACGGCAAATAATTATTATTTGGTCCAGCATAGTTTTTTGACCTAATTCGTGTATGCTGAATCCAAAAAAATGTGCTGGCCTATATGATAATGGCGTTAAAGGGGTCAAAATGGCGATTCAAAATGGCGGACATACAATTTTTCTAATTTTCTCTTAATATCGTTCAAAATAAAAAAAAATAATGTGTAAATATCTCACTGAGTGTAATACAACTTTGAAAATGATAATAAAATGCTAATAATATTGGTTTAACTCAGAAAATTTAGTAGTTTCTACACTTAATTCGAATTTTCTTTGATTTATTTGTCTATTGTTTCTATTTTCTGCTTTGTTCAGGATTTTACATTTGCAAATATCCATACACTACAGATTTGTATTTTTCCTCTACATATCACTATTCTCACTATTCTACAATTGAATGATGGTGCAGCTGTAAATGGTGGATATTCATTTTTTTTTTCAAATTAATGTCGTGTACATAGGAGAAAGGATTTGTGAATATCTTACTGAGCGTAGTACAACTATGAAAATTACAATAGAACACTTATATTATCACTTTAATTCGGAAAATTTAGTTGTTTAAATTTGAAGTGTGTTAATAAGCGATTCAAAATGACGTCATATACGCTCGAATTTCGTTAAATACTCAAACTGCATAATTCTGAGTCGTTTTGCAGAAAATAAATTACAGTTTGTTTTTATAAATGAAATAGTATTCAAATAGGCGATGAAAGTTGGAGGATATTTTTATCAAGTTAATGACTTAAGATTTTTATGACACGGATTTTTGCATAATTATTTCTAATACTAGTACTAAGATAAACTTTTGACGACAATTCCGAAGACATATTTATTATTACCTGTCTCACCATGCTTCTTCCCATAAAGAGTTAATAATATACAATAACTGCTGTTTAGGGGACAATATGACAATTAATCTATACCCCAAGAGCAGTATTCCCCCAGCATTAAGGTGAGTAAACATTGTAGTTCAAGGTTTGCTAAATCATATCTCAGTTGTTGCAAATTCTTAATCTATTTTTAGTTCAGTGTAGAAAAAAAATAAATGTGTATGTTCATGTGGAAGGTCTTGTGCAACATGACTTAGTATATGGACCACAGCCAATTAGAGGGCTAGTAATTGTTACATCATATAAATCTGAATATATTATAATATCCAAATATTAACATATCTATTGAGAATTATCAGTATAATATACGTAAACCATAAATGTTCTTGATTGTCCAGCTCTGATTTTGAGTCCTTGCATTTGCATTTTGTTATTCTCAGTCAAAAAGTCAACTTTATTCACATATATTTCATGTTGTGAACGGATAATCTAGTATTGAACAGTGTATTTAAATTTAAACGCAGCTAGGATAAGGCTCCCCTTAAAATATCAAACTGTTCAAACTGTAGCAACTTCTCTGAACTACCTAGATATGACGTCATAATAGACTATGACGTCAAGTCACTGCATACTTGAGCTGACATGACGGGGAAGATGTCATAATTTTTACATAGCATGTAGATTTATTTTAGAGCCTTGATGTTAAATTCAAGTGTTAGGATTGTTTTTTAAGCTCCAATGTGGTGTTATGATATTGAACATTTGAAATTTAAATATCCCTATTCCTTTCGTTTGTCCGATATGCACATATTCAAACAATAGATAAAAATTATGTGTGAAACGCTCCCCTTACACATCTGAAGACAGAGTTAGAATTCATGAACCGTGTTTATATTGGACTGGCACAAGTGATAAACAAGGACAAATTGAAGATATTCTGTGTAAATCTACCAGAGAAGTATGTCCTCTAACTGAATTTTGCTGGGGGATAGTTTGTAGTTTATCCATTTTTGTATAAATTGCGATCAAGAGTGGAAAATACCTCTTCTTATGTTGGTAAGTTCCATTTCTCGTAAAATATTTTCTTAACGAGTAAAATTTAAACCTGCCCCTAGCACTTTATATGTACCAGAGATCACGATGAATAGATCTATGTAACAAACTTTGCACAAGATTTTTGTTTTGCACTTGTGCCGAAGCGATTTTTGTGCAACAATTAGGAATATCATAAATCTCCGTCACGTGATCAACACAGTCATGTGACATCACAAAAATTCTTTCTTCTAATACCTGATTAAATTATTATCTCAGGTTGACTGCTATTTCAATCAAGGAATACATATTGAAATGAAAATCTAGCTCAAAATGAAATGTATATTTTACGGCATTTTAAGCCTTCGGACAGCCTTATCATAACTGCGAATATTGAAATTTACAAAATCTGAAAGAGGAAAATGTTTGTGTTCAACCCCCCCTCGATTCTTGATCCAACCTTACACTATCCTAACAAAGAAGTGTGGATCAGGTTCCCTTGCAAAGTTCTTGGACTGTTCAAGAAAATTTTGTTGTCAAGAGAAGTGTTGAATAGATCGAAGTCAAGAATGGCTTAACCTTTTGGTACGAAAGTTTGTACGTGATAGGAATCACGAGGAATCTGCAGGCGCTCTTAAATTTCATACTTGTCAACTTTTCTCACCAAAATATGCACACAATGTGTTTCCAGATGATAAAGTTTCAATACGGTCACAAAATAGAAAGCTACATGTCTTGAATATCAGAGATTTTTTTTATATCCCCGCTTGAAAAGCGGGAGGATGTAGTAATCGGTCCGTCCGTCTGTTACGCTTTGGGGTAACCAACTCTTATCCGCAACTCCTCTCATACCACTGAATGAAATTTGATGAAACTTTCACAGAATCTTTATTACATATTGCCATTTTGCACCTCCTATTTCACATTTTTCCATAGCATAACATGGACACTGTCATTATATTCATATTGGAGACGGGGGTATCATTTAGTAAGCTCATTGCTCACATTACCTCTAGTTAATTTTGCATAAGGTTTTGGAAAACAAAATGTTTTTAAAATATGAACATAAATTTGTTTTTTCTTGCATTGAGTGTTGGAAAATACCAAAATTCCGAAGACAGACTGAAACATATAGCAAATAAAGCTGGAAGAGGAGATGTTAGGGATTATACTAAATTCTTTTAAGTGCTAATTTCAATAGCTATTACAAAGTGCTCGATGAAAAAGTGCTCTTGATGTACAAGAATTTCTTCAGTTATATTTGATAGTGTACTGACGGATGTTGAAGTAGAAGTGCGAGTTGATAATGACAGCGATCAGGAGTGATATTAGGTGGACGCGGGCTCAAAGGCTTTGGAACACGGTCAAATACGAGGGGGGAAATTTGGAAACCCTTAAGCCGAGTTTGTTTTAACTATTTCGAGAAAAAATGAAACTTTTCTAGTATTTTGTGTTTATTCATATTAAATGGACTAATCAACATACTATATATAAAACTAGTGGTACTGTGAGCAATGAGCTCACTAAATGATGCCCCCGCCTCCCACATGAATATAATTAAAGTGACTATGTTTTGCTATGGGAAACCCAAAAATTTGTGTCGGATCAAAAAGTAAAATTGGAGGTCACAATGGCAATATATAATAAAGATTTTATGAAAGTTTCAACAAATTTCATTCATTGGTATGAGAACAGTTGCGGATAAGAGACGGGTTCCCGAAAGCATAACAGACGGACGGACATACCGATTACTGTATACCCTCCCGCTTTTCAAGCGGGGGGTAGAAAAACAAATTGTAATTTATTTTCTCGAAAACGACTCAGAATTAAGCAGTCTGGGTATTTTACGAAATTTGAGTGTATATGACGTCATTTTGAATCGCCATTTTGAGCTTATTAACACATTTCAATTTTGAAACGATTAAATTTTCCGAATTAAAGTGATAATATAAGTGTTCTATTGTCATTTTACAAAGATGAACTACGCTCAGTGAGATATTCACTAATCCTTTCTCCTATGTAAACGACATTAATTTGAAAAAAATGAATATCCGCCATTTTGAATCGCCATTTTGACTTTTAACTTACAGCTGCATCACTATCCAATTGTAGAATAGTGAGATGCTGAAGAAAAAATACAAATCTGTAGTGTATGGATATTTGCAAATGTAAAATACTGAACAAAGCAGAATATAGAAACAATAGACAAATAAATCATAGAAAATT